TTACGTTCATGTGACATAAGAATAAATTCATATCAATCTAGTTTGTAATGAAGCTTTAAGAAAGCTAAACCACTACCGCTGACAGATGTAACTAAAGTTTGGTCCTAGAGCTGTAACACTGGACATGTCTACACAGTGAGGACCATCTACAACAAATGTGCCCCACCTACAGATAAAAAACAACATCTTTATTAACTGTGATAAAAAAAAGACGGGAGGACAAAAACAATAAACTAATGAGTAAAAAAGGTTTTGCTTGATAAACTGCTGTTTTTGTTGGAGATCCCTCTCCCTGTGATTGGTTAGGATTGCTAATGTTTCCTTCTTTTTCAGACACACTAGAGAAGGGAAACATTAAGAGGCGTTGATATGAAATACAGGAAGTAAAAAGGATATTACTACCAAATTAATAAGTGTGAAGGACCGGTGAAAACAGAAACAGCTCACCTTTCGCATTCCGAAGCTCGACGTTACCATCTGCTGTCCGGATCCATTTATGACAAGGAAAAACCTCCACCTCAGGATCCTCAGAGTGATAAAAAAAGACGGGAGGACAAAAACAATAAACTAATGAGTAAAAAAGGTTTTGCTTGATAAACTGCTGTTTTTGTTGGAGATCCCTCTCCCTGTGATTGGTTAGGATTGCTAATGTTTCCTTCTTTTTCAGACACACTAGAGAAGGGAAACATTAAGAGGCGTTGATAGGAAATACAGGAAGTAAAAAGGATATGGATACTACCAAATTAATAAGTGTGAAGGAACGGTGAAAACAGAAACAGCTCACCTTTCGCATTCCGAAGCTCGACGTTACCATCTGCTGTCCGGATCCATTTATGACAAGGAAAAACCTCCACCTCAGGATCCTCAGAACTCCGTCTCACATGCACATCCCCACAGTGCCAATCCAGGTCCAGAAAGCCAGGCTGAGCCTCAAGACGGAGTTTCAACAAAACCACTATGCCAACTTCCTCTTTAGACTTGATGACAACTGTATAGGCCTGTCCCAAAAAGAAAAACACCACATTTGCATGTGTACCTGCTAGATGGGGTCACAGTCTAAAAGAATGCTGCCATAGTGAATGACTTAGTTTTTTCTCAGTTATTTAACAGTCATTTGATATATCATATTCTAGGCAGGTTTAGAATGGGTTTAAGTGCCTCAGCAGATACTGTAGTGGCCTGTAGCTGTTAGAGGGCATATACAGTGGGGAAAATAATTATTTGATCCCCTGCTGATTTTGTAAGTTTGACCACTTACAAAAAAAATTAAGGGTCTATAATTTTTATGGTAGGTTTATTTTAACGGATAGAGACAGAATATCAACAAAAAAATCCAGAAAAAACACATTATATAAAAGTTATAAATTGACTTGCATTTCAGTAAGTAAAATAAGTATTTGATCCCCTACCAACCAGCAAGAATTCTGGCTCCCACAAACTGGCTACGTGCCCAAGTGGAACACAGATTAGTCCTGTCACTTTAAGAAATTACTCCTAATGTCATCTTGTTATGAGTATAAAAGAAACCAGTCCATAGAATGTGTTTCTTCCATTCAAGCCTCTCCCACCACCATGGGCAAGACTAAAGAGCTGTCAAAGGATGTCAGAGACAAGATTGTAGACCTGCACAAGGCTGGAATGGGCTACAAGACCATCAGCAAGAAGCTTTTTGAGAAGGAGACAACTGTTGGTGTGAATATTCGGAAATTGAAGAAATACAAAATAACCATCAATCGCCCTCTGTCTGGTGCTCCATGCAAGATCTCGCCTTATGAGGAAAGGATGGTCATGATAAAGGTGAGGGATCAGCCCCGAACTACACAGTAGGAGCTTGTTAATGATCTTAAGGCAGTTTGGACAACAGTCGCCAAGCAAACCATTGATAACACACTACGTTGCAATGAGTTGAAATCATGCAGTGCCTGCAAGGTCCCCCAGCTCAAGAAGGCACATGTACAGGCCTGTCTGAACATCTAAATGATTCAGAGAAGGCTTGGGAGAAAGTGCTGTTGTCACATGAGAACAAAATTGAACTCTTTGGCATCAACTCGACTTGCTGTGTTTGGAGGGAGAGAAATGCTGACTATGACCCCAAGAACACCATCCCTACAGTCAAGCATGGAGGTGGAAACATTATGCTTTGGGGCTGTTTCTCTGCTATGGGTACAGGATGACTTCATCGCATTGAAGGACCGATGGACGGGGCCATGCACCGTAAAATTCTGGATGAGAACCTCCTTCTCTCAGCCAAAACACTGAAGATGGGTCATGGACAGAGGCGGACAGTAACTAAGTACATTTACTTATGACTTATGACTTTAACTTCACTACATTTGAAAGACAAATATTGTACTTTTCACTCCACTACATTTCTATCAAGGTCATCGAAGTATAAAGTCGTTACTATGTAGCAGCTTTGAAAATCAGTGGGTGATTTGTTTCTTCTCTAAAATGTGACTTTCTTTTTTTGAACACTGACCAGTTGCAAATGTGATATTTATTTATAACAATTCAATAATAAGAAGTTAATATTGTGGTATATATTAGACACAATATTGTCTGATTTTGCTAAAATTGTGTACGCGAAAATATTACCTATAAAGCCACAGAAGAACTGTTGTGCATCTCCTAATAAAACACAAGTACCACGAGAGTGATTAGACAGCATTTTCAGCTATACAATTATAGGACAAAGTTTTACATATATGCCATTATAATTAGTGTTTTATTTTTTAACTGTACGGAATTATAAAATAAAACGCAAATTATAATCGGGCCTTCCATCAATTGGTGATGAAAAAAATGACTCGCCATCTCCTAACTGGATGTGCCTTTAGAGAGAAATGCACGGATTACATAATGAAAGAGTTTATTTTATTAGGAGTCTATTTTCTATTCGAATTATTTCGTTTTAAAGTAGTAATTTAAAGCTTTCTATATATTTTGATCATGTCTGAGTTTAGGTTCATCAATGTGAAGCGCTCCTGTTCAAGACTGAGACGGCAGAAAGCGTTTGTTTTCCTTATTTTATAAAAGCACGTTTTGTTGATATTGTGAGTGCACACAAATAAAAGTAGACCCTTTACAGTTTAGAATGATGTATTACTCTTACCTTTATGAGCAAAAATGACTGCCTATTTTAAGTTGTTTCCACTGTTAGAAAGAAATGCAAGTGATGGCGCTGCCTCTGTGTCCTGCAGCTTGCGCTTCAGCTTCCACTCTCCGCAAACGATTGGATATAACAGGCACATTTATCTTGGTTAAACATTTAAACTAACATTGTGATATACTTGAACTGTTTTATATATAGATTTTATTTTAGGCAAGTCCTGATGATTTGAGAAGGCTAAATTGATCAAACATAGGCTATAGGCTATGATCAATTCACTGTCTGCCGCTGGCCTTTACTTAAAAAAACAAAAATAACTTACATTTAACGAACAAAAAATACTCAAAATGTTTTTCTAAATTTACTTTATAAAAAAACGAAACGAAATATAATCACTTTTCCATTACATACAAAACTGAACTATTTTAATAGCTGAAACAGAATAAGCTGTTTTTGGGAAAAGGGGAAAAAAGACGGACTAGGGCCTATATTTGAGGCCTATGACTGATGACGGCACGGTTTGATCTTCGGCTGACCAATCAGCAGAAAGGGGCGTTTAATTCCCGCCCACGTGTAGAAATCGAATATTCAAGCTGTTTATTAATTTTTCCACCCAAGAACGAAAAACGAAAATTTAAGCTGAATTCTCGGTTTTCGAAAAAATATTAAATAAAAAAACGAATGATCGAATGATACACGGATTTTTCCTGACAACTTTCAGCAATGCCACCCTCTTTATTTTACTAACTTACTGCATGCTGAAGGTGACCCAGCTGACCTCATCAGAAAAAAACTCAACACCACCATCTAGTGGATTGTAAATAAATTGATTTTATTATTCTACCAAATAGTATAATAACAGATCGATACTTGGCGTCCGTGTATCGATACAGTATTGCCGCGGAAAATATCGCGATACTATGCTGTATCGATTCCCCCCCCCCACCCCTAATGGTTACTGGTGTTTTTTACGTGCTGTTTTACATAGTCATTATCTATGCCGTTTCACTTTAATTATGTAGCCTACGTGCAATACTTATTTTTGACAAATGTGGTCTAAAAATAAATATATGTATGTATATTTTTAATGATAGAAATCGGTGTATATGCAATTCTATGTAATAATATGATGTAGGGAGCGCAAAAATCCACAAAAATAATACCTTCCCTGACCGGGAATCGAACCCGGGCCGCGGCGGTGAGAGCGCCGAATCCTAACCACTAGACCACCAGGGACGTGCTAAATTAGCGTAACACTGGCATTACAAACACTAGAAACACTAGTCCCGGCAAACAGCACGATATTAAAACAAGGTACGTTTACCTGACTATTTTTTTTTTTTACCAAATAAAATCACACACAAGTTATCCCTTTATATGATATATTTAATGTAAATTTTCAGGCAACAACATTAGTGTACACGGAAGCCTAATTACCGTTATATATTTTTTTTTTCGAGATTTAACAAAAAATGTTTTGCGATCCCAAGATACATTTTAATAAAATCCAAATGCATGGACTAACGTTAGGTGGAGTGCAATATTGCACGTTTTGTCCTCGTAACGTTAATCCTGTTATGCTGAGCTATCAGAAAGGCCAATGGCGAGCTCATTATCGTCTATTTTTTGTGGTGACACTAGTAAACACGGTATGGTGTAACAATCGTATAAACTAAATTGATCATTCTACTCCTAATACTTTAAGACCTCGTGGCGCAACGGTAGCGCGTCTGACTCCAGATCAGAAGGTTGCGTGTTCAAATCACGTCGGGGTCAATTTACGTTTTAATTTGTCACGCAATGTCAAATTAATTCAATTAGCTGTCAAAATGTATTTATTATTGTCCTATTAATTTTTTTTTGATTGCCCCATCTGATCATCTCACACATATATGCACACACAGGGTTTCTTTAGAAATAACCAACATTTAATAAATATACGGTTCTTCTGTAACAAAAAATATGTTACATATACAAGCTTTGAAATCTCATGCAAGTGAGAGACTGGTCCAAAGTTACTGGACTTTCACTGTGAAGGAATGTTGAGGACAGAGTTCATCCACAGCAGAGACCATGTCCAAAGTCCGTCATATTTGGACCACATTTGTCAAATATACAATGAATTGATAAATTCGCAATAAAAGGCCTATATAGTCTTTAACTATTATAAAACATCTCCAAACTTCATTCATACTCTTGCAGTCAATGAGAACAAACTAAAAAAGTAATTTTGTGCAACAGTTGACTTCCTCTTTCAACAAACATAGTTTCCTGTGTAATAATCACTCATTATGACACATTTACCACAACATGCATGCATTAACACATACACAGTAGACTGAAATCATTAGCAACACCAAAGCATACAAATAACAAAACATTTAAATCAAATTTAACTGAAAAAAATTACTTTATTATACAACATTAAAACTAGGTTTTAGAATGCCTTATATCACTGTATGAAACTTTTGCCACAAGCAACAATGGTCTGTAACAATAAGCTGTATTTCTTTCCTACAAAACTGCTGATTAAAGTGGCTCAGTTTTGTAAATACTACAAGTTGTTAATTCAAGTAAAGGCTTTACGTGCTCATAAAATGCATTGTTTATTGCTTCAAAATATTCACAAGTTGAGAGGACCTTTCAGTTTTGGATTAACCTCACTATTTTTGTGTTGTTCAGAAATAAGAGATCAAGCTTGTTGTAGTTTGGCGGGTTGGCTAGAGGGTCATAACCTAAGCGACTTAACATCGGGGCAAGGCTGGCCACATCATTCACCACATCAGCAGGGATCTTGCCCACCCATTTAGACAGAGCGTCTGTATTCACTGGCTTGACTACTTGATCCGTTGACAGCTCCACCCTGGAGGAGAGACAGGGATCATAGAGACAATGAAAAAACATACATCTATTTAGAAACACTGTAGTTAGGATTATAGTAGACAAGGTCTAAGTGCTTGTCTAAAATATCATGAAATTAATCTGCCTTCTAGAGATTAAGTCTGTAAAGTGACCACATCACAAATTGCAGTAAGAACTGAAAATTAAAATCTACTTATTCCAGAGGGAGATGTTTTAAAGGGGTGGTTTACTGGGTTTTTTCTAGGCTTGATTGTGTTTATGGGGTGCAGTCTAACGTGTGTTAATGCTTCGTTTAAAAAAAAAACATTTTTCACATAATTTATCTTTATTCCACACCGCTCTGTCCCTTCTCTGAGAAACGGGCTGATCATTTCCTTCTTTTACGAAGCCCCTCCCTCAGAAATACACGATGGGCTCTGATTGGTTGGTGGGGGGGGGGCTATGCATCCCTGCCTCTGCTGAATTATTTTTATCCCCTGTGGGGAAAATACATCCAGCGAACCCGCTCCGATCTAAATCAAATGATTCGTGATACGCGATCTGACAGGAATGCTGAATAATTTCGATTGGAGCGCTTAATTTTCATTGGAACAATTTGAATAACCGTGGAAATGAAATCATTACAATTAATAGGCCTAACGTAGGCTACAATGTTTTTATTGAACTGTGATCACGTTAAATACAGTTTCCGTCGTATTAAAAACATTTCATAAAAAGTTTTCAAAAGCATCCCCCCTCTGTTTTTTTTCACAAATCACACCTTGGGTAGGCCTATGTTTTTTGTTGTCTCATACTTTTAGATACGCTGTTATTTGTAAATGCTACTGCTTATGTTAGCTTTTAATATAGTTTTATCCTGATTAAAGCTTCAATACAGTACGGGCAACTGCACGCGCGTCCATGTTTAACGCTTCTCATAGCTATGTGAAAATAAGTCTATAAATGGAATAGAGCTGAGCTGATGATCTGAATGAGAGAGAGAGAGAGAGATGCAGAGTATGTGCAGAGCAGGGGGACGCGAGGAACAGTATTAAGAACCGCTGCTTTAGAACATTGATTTTGAAACTTAAGAATCCATTAGAATCGTTAGAAGACAGAATAGCGATTCATATATGAAAAGATTTTGACGTGCACCTCTAGTCTTCTCTTCCTCTTCTCTAAAGCAGCGCAGCATGGCCTCGCCCCCTTTGCTGACTTTTCCCGAGGGCGGGGTTTATCTGGGTTTGTGATGTCACGAACCTGGGAAGTAACTGGTTGTAGTCCCTACCAGCTGTTTTTGTAGGCATTAAACTGCCAGAATTTTAAAAGAAGATATCTCCGTTTGCATCGAACTTTCAGCTTCGTAACTTTGCAGATATCGTTTATGCTCAAACAGCAACATTAGACACTAACTAACGTTAAAAAAGTGAAATCGCAATGAACTACCCCTTTAACATCTTCCAACGGTTCCATTATTACAGAACTGTCACCCAATTAGTGCTCATGAGGTCTTTGTAAATACTTGATCAAACAAACACCCTTTTTACTTCTAATTTATTTGTTTTACCGCTTGTACTACAGAGACTATTTACATAGAGAGCACTAATTCAACTCTTGACAAGGAAACGTAAACCTGCATGTTTGATCCATTATCTGGAAAAGCCGTAAATGTAAAAGGAAACAGTGAATGAAAATTCTTGACAGGGTCAGACTTGATGGGAACAAAGTTGTTTTTCTTTTACCTTTTTTTTTTAATGCCATATCAGTATCGGATTAAAAATGATATGGCCACACCACACATTATATGCAGGGGTAAAAAAATGGATATGGTCATAAATTAAGATTTAGTTTCCTGGTTTTAGGTAAATTGTGGCTACATGGTTCTAGTTTGTTCCCTTGTTTTAAGACTGGAATATAACACCTTTTGCCTAGACCCCCCCCCCCCCCTTTTCCGCTTGCTAATCAGAACAACACAACCTTGTTTCTGCAAGGATGTTCAGCATGCTTTCTACAAACAAGGTCTGACATGTTTACTTTTTACATGGCGTGAGAATGTATTTATTTCAGTGTTTTATTTTCCATTTATTTAGACAAAATTTTTTAAGAATTATCACATGAATGTGACAAAAATCTCTCAAAAGTGTGACAGCAAATAGCTCAAAGCATCAAACTCACTCACTTTGACAGTGAAACACCACCAGCTTTCCCAATAAGCTGTTCGTGGTGCAGCACGGCAGTGTCCCACGGCAGATCCAGGAACTGAAGGAGCTTGCTCATCACTCGCTCAGGTTGCAGGACCAGCTGCTCGTAATGCACAGGCAGACAGTTGCCATCCGCTGCAGCCAGGCACTGGTCATACATAACCTCCACCGCCCGGTTCCACTTCACCAAACAGTCCCGGTAACTTGTTAAGTCGAATCCGGTGATAGTCACCTTGCGGGAAATCATAGAATGTACGGTGGCCCTGCCATCGCGGAGCATAAGAATAAATTTTGCTTTTGGGAAGAGCTTGGAGAGGTAGGTGAGAGACTTGAGAGCAAAAGGGTCCTTATTGCAGAGCCTCGGAGCGGGCTCGCCGTGCCCCACTATGATCTCCAACAGGAAGGCACGTACAGCTGAATCCAGGACCTCGTCGGTGACGCCAGCCTCGTCCAGACGGACACGTTCACGTGCGGAGTGACTCCATGTGGCCTGCATGGCTAACAGCCGGGGGATGACGCGGGTCTCTTGTCCACACCGAACCAGAGGGTGGGCGTCCAACATAGCCCGCATCAGTGTGGTGCCGCTACGAGGGACTCCGCCAATGAAAATGAGAGGGGTTTCCTCATTGTACTCCTCAGGGAGTTGTAATGGGTCGCTTAGGTTTCGGCCAGCTTGTAGATTTACCGCCCACCCATGCTGTGCCGCACGAGAACGAGCAGTTGGACATTCTATCGTGCTGAGGCCAAGATAAAATACTGTGATGGAGCTGATGACCCCACAGACCAGAAGAACGTTGCATGTTTGTTTTCTCATGACTTATAGTTAGGGGAGAATGTGGTTTGTGGTTACAAAAAAGGAGAATGAGGCAAAACAAAATGGGCAAAACAGACTTAGCAGAAAGGGAAAGGTTAAGAGGGATCTTGGAAAGACAGAGCGAATGCTTTTCAGAAATGTTCTGGGTGAAAGAATGTTGAAAGGCAGCTTAGGTAAAGGTTTATTGGGGGAGGGAAGGGATGGGCAACATTTTTCCAGCCAGCAGCTCTTCAGGCCTTTGCTTGGAGCTTCAATAAATTCAGACTTCGTAAGTCAAGCCTTATGTTTTCTGTCAGCACCATTATGCCTGTGAAAAAAGGGGAACACTTTCAAAAACAGATTTTGCCAGGTCTGTTTCAACATTGGCTACTAGGGTGCATCTCATGTTAGATTAAATGTCACATCTAATACCATTACAGTACAACATTACGGTAATAGTATTAGACAATTACAGCTTGCCTCGAATTGCAAGCCAAAACACAAATGAAAATTTCCTGTAAAATTTAACTAGAAAAACAACGTAATGCTGCGAAAGGATGTTGTGTGTATCTTGTAGGCGTCATATCTAGTTTATGATTGTAAAGATTGTCAGTTATCCAGGTCAAAGTAGAATAAATCTCACATAGTGGATCTTAGTCTTCAGAACTCAATATCTAAGACAATATTCAACAGTACTGATGTGCTATAATGATGACAATGCTATACGTTTTCAAATTTCATGGACAGAAATTATTGAAATAATTGTTTTTTGATGAAATTAATATTAAAATAAGAAATAATGTGTCAGTTTAGATGTTATCTTTATTTTTAGCCGTTGACCTACTAATCTAGCAGAACATCTAGTTTCCCTTTTGCACACATGAGCAGGTACATTTTGGTTACACTGCTACCTCTATGTGTGCAGGTTACACTACCTCGGTTTTTGAGTGTCAACAGCATCTTTCACACATGTAAACTTTGGCAAAAGTTTTAACACCTTTCAGCAGCAAAGCATCCTGTTGTGGCAAGAATCTGTGGTTGCATTTGAGATGCACATAGGTGTTATTTGTGACACATGCAATGCATGAAACATTAACACCTGATATGTTTGCACATACATAAATGTGTTAAAGATTAATTTTTATAGATATTTATTCTGGAATATAAAGCCCTTATATGGAGATTATTGGGTGATTTTTATGTAAATTACAAATCTTGTTAGTATGTGTTGCTCATTTAGAATACTCCAACTACATTAACATTAAAACTATAGGTTAAGAACAAATTAATGTATGCATGCACATGTTGTGAATTAGGCGGAAATTCAATTTTTTCTAATGTGTGTTTAAATAATCCCCCCAGTTAGTAGTGAATGAAACCTAATGACTAGGGATGGGCGTATCGATCCGAACTATCGATATTAATGCGTACAATGTGCATTGAATTGGACGAATAACCTTTATTAGAGTGTAATTGTGTAGGATATAACTATTTTCCTGCTCATCTGAACACACGCAAATGTTGCAAGACAGAACCAATTAATCACATTGAGCATTCACTCATTGCCGACAGTGCATTCAAACAGGGCTGCGTTTCCCAAAAGTATCATAAGAAAGCATTAAAGCTTTTGGGAACGGCAGCCCTGAACAATGCTTTTCAGAGAACAGAAATAAAAACATAAATGTTTGAGTTATTTCACAATAAACAAATTGAAATTGTAGCCTACATAGTTTGTGCAATTACAAATATTTAACTTGAACGTTGAAAGATAATATTGATCATGTTCTATTCAGTAATGTTAATAGAAATCATACACTGTCAGAATAAAAAGGTTGCATTTTTTTGCATGCAACCGCCATTCACTGGCAGTCCCTAATGGCAGTACAAGATATTGCACTAAATCAAAAGTTCAAATGTTACAAACAAGTTAGAATATTAATGTTGTAATACTGGTAGCACTAATATAAAAATGTGATGACATATGTTACAAAAAAGTAACAATTTTGAAATACGCTGATGGTTGTATTTTTTTGTATTTGATCTCAGTATTCCTATCAATGTTGTAGAAGGGTTTTTTATGCATAATAGTAACCCTAGAATGTGATCAACAGTTTAAAACAGCTGAGCTAAGATATAGAACAATTTTTAAGACTGCAGAAATATGTTAATTCAGTATACACATGATCCCACCGCTTACAATTGTGACTGACCATAAAATACCATTTTTCACACACTTTTCCAAAAATATATATTTTAAAGGGTTACTAATGACACATCATTTGGATATTTTCATGTCTGGGAAAAATTTTGGATTAAACGGGTTAAAATGCGTTTTAAACAAAAGTTAAGTGGTTTTCATTACCCATTTTAAAATGTAATAATTTAATACATTTCATAATTTAAAAGTTTAGTGCAGAAGTATCGAATTGGTATCGACGATACTGCCTTGAAAAATATCGTAAACAAAATAAGTGGTATCGCCCATCCCTAATGACTGTTCCCAAACAAGTTTCTACTGAACACGTTCTATGTCTCCCATTGGTCGAACAAAAAGATAGTCCCACCCCAGACTCACGCCATTGGTTGAGCCAGGTGAAACTCATCAAATTATAGCTAATAAGTAACTTCTCTGCATATTAATGAGGACTAGAAGAATTTTAACACATAAGTATATGCTTGCTGACTGTAGTCTCCATTCTTCTGAAAACGCATTCTACCTAGACAGCATATAGTGTGTTCAACGTTGGACCGCATTTTTGGGTATCGCAGCAGAGTTTGAATTTCCAAAATAATAATAAAGGCGTACTGCCGCCCGTGCAGAAAACAATTTAATGACACTCGCTCTCCTCTACCATCTGTAAGGTTAGGTCATATATAGGTTATACACCTATCATCCAGCACTGGCCATTCAGAAAACTATCATTTCTCTCATCAATCCCTTCATGTAACTTATTACAGGTGCGCAGAATAAGCCTGGGGCTTCAGGTTACAAAACTCATACTTCATTTTTTTTACTTGTAATAACATCAGTAATAATATTCTTAATATTATACGTTTATATAAAAAAATGCCCTGTCAAGTATAAATTGTTTATCTGAAAATATGGGGCAAAATAAGCAATAAAAAAAGAAAGTTTTCTGTAACTTACTTAGTGAGCTTGTGAGGCAGCATTGAAGTGAGGAACTTCTTCACAGTGTCTGGATTCTGATGAGCACACGGCGTCTTGGAGAGGTACTTCAGGGTCTGAGGCAGACGCATCAAATGTTAAAAGGCATGAGTGATCAGCCCCGTCTGAAGATCATGATGAAAATCTCTCACAGACCGAAAATTTAATATCATCTTGGTTTAAGAGATGTTTCAAATCACATCAAAAACATGCACCTCATACATGATGGTGTTGAGATTCTGCTGTCCTGTGCTGTGCTTATTTTTAACCATCTCCTTTCTTTTTTCTTTCAGGTCTGTCAGCAACTGATAGACCTGGTGGAATAGAGTGCATTTGTACAGTCACAATTAAACTCAACAACTGAAGATTTTACTTGAGATGCACAACATGCATTTCTGATCAAACACACAAAGAACTGTATAACACACAAAATTTATCTAAAAAGATGCATAAAATGCATACTGACCTCATAGTTGCTTAACATAGCGGCATTGGCATCCCTTCTACAAAACAAAAGGTTTACATTAGGATTAACTCATGTTAAATCGCCTAAAATTGTGTTCTAACAGCAGCTATAATAGCCTTTCGGAGCACTGCAACAAGCACAATTGCATTTTGTGCATTTGCAATTTTTTCGTGTGTGAGCAAAGGGAAGCTCCAACTCAAGTAGGGCTGAAACGATTAGTTAACATTATCGACAACGTTGATAATAAAAAAAAATTGTCTACAAATCTTTTTGTTGTGGAGTAGTCGTTTGATCTCATATGGCCTAATGTAAGAGCCTGCAATAATGCTGTTTGGCCAGTGTGGCGCTGTAGCACAAGACAACGACAATTCAAGAGAAGACAGCGCTTCAGAGTAGGGATGGGCAATACCACTTATTTTGTTTTCGATACGATACCGATATTTTTCAAGGCAGTATCGTTGATATCGATACGATACTTCTGAACTAAACTTTTAAATTATGAAATGTATTAAATTACTAAGAGTAAAATGGGTAATGATAACCACTTAACTTTGTTTAAAACGCATTTTAAAATTCAATACGCCTTAATTGTAACTTATTAGGTTATCTTTTTGTTTACACATGGTTCAAATATGTTTTTTTGTTTACACATGATTCAAATCTACAAATACCACAGTTGAACTACGGTCACTTTAGTAAAACCATGGTTCATTTTCATAAAGGACTGCCAGTGACAGGCTGTTGCACGCATAAAATGCAACCATTTTTGACAGTGTATGATTTATATTAACATTACAGAATAGAACATGATCAATATTATCTTTCAACGTTCAATTTCAATAAATGTAATTGCACCAACTATGTAGGCTAATTTCAATTTGTTTATTGTGAAATAACTCAAATATATATGTTTTTTCTTCTGTCCTCTGATAAGCATTGTTCAGGGCTGCCATTCCCAAAAGCTTTAATGCTTTCTTATGATACTTTTGGGAAACGCAGCCCTGTTTGAATGCACTGTCAGAAGTGAGTGAGTGATGGATTGGTTCTGTCTTTGCAACATTTGCTTGTGTTCAGATGAGCAGGAAAATAGTTCTATCCTACACAATTATTTACTAACATAGATTATTCATCCAATTAAATGCATTATTTTTTTTGTTAAATGAACAAAATCACTGGTAAATAAAACACACCTTAGTATCGATACTTTCGATACTCACATAAGTATCGATACTTCTGATATATACGCCCATCCCTACTTCAGAGCAAAAGCAGCCAAACATAAAGCTGTTGAGCGGCGTTTGGATGAATATGTAAATATATGCTGCACGCTTTCCTCTCAATAACAAAAACTGACCGCAGTGTGAAAGCAGCAGTTATGAAGGCATCGGATTACAGCCGTGTGGATGTTACTAGAATTCTGCAGTTCGGTACTCCAGTAAAGTCCAGTCACGTCACATTTATTTATATAACTTAGTACTTTATGCAATAGATAGCCTTAAATCAAGCAGCTTTACAGTACTCAACATGAAAAAACCAGAGTCAGTGTCGCTTTCAGTTAGAATTACAACGTGATTTTCTGTTATAAAGCGGCTCTCCAGTGTGGAGCTAGCTAATAAGGGAAAAAATATTTCACTAAAGTTATAGTTTGGTTTGCAGAGATCAAAGCTTGATCTAGCTCAGGACTGTTTTGATTATCATTACCCTATAAGGTATTTTAAGAGAGATTATGTTGTGAATAAAATAGTTTATCAAAAAATAAAACGTCTCATCACTTACCTTTATTTTGTTTCTTATCCATATGACTTACAAAAGGAGATGTTAGGCAGAATTATGTCCTTCAGTTACTTTTTCATACAGCTAATTAAATGGTGAATAAGTTTCTCTGTCATCTCATTTTGTGTGCCAAATATATTTATTTGTACAAATTAATTGTAATTACATAATATGACTTTCAAAAGCGGAAGTGATTACCTTTATTTATTTGTTAGAATATATATAGCAATATTTTAACTAATCGCAAAAGTTGAGTAATCAAATGTCTACTGATTAATCGGTGAAATAATCGATGATCAGTCGATTAATCGTTCTAACAATCATTAGATTAATCGATTATCAAAATAATAATTTGTTGTAGCCCTTAAAGGGTTAGTTAACCCAAAAATGAAAATTAGGCTGCATTTTACTCACCCCCGAGGCATCCTAGATGTATATCACTTTCTTCTTTCAGACGAATCCAGTCGGAGTTTTATCAAAAAAATTGTCTTTGATCTTTCAAGCTGTTTAATGCCACTCAGCAGGTGTTGCATTGCTTCAGTTCAAAAGAACTTAAATAAAAATCGCCCATCCATAACAAAAAGTGCCTCACAAGGCTCCGGGGGTGAACAAAGGCATTCTGTAGTGAATCGATGAGTTTTTGTAAGAAAAATATCCATATTCAAAACATAATAATCACTTGAATCTAGCTTGCGCTCACTGTTGTAAACGGAAACAGTTCCGGGGGAATGACGTATGAGGTCGGCTTTGCTGAAGTGATTATTACGTTTTGAATATATTTTTATTACAAAAATGCATCGATTCGCTACAGGAGGCCTTTGTTCACCCCCCCGGAGCCGTGTGAGACACTTTTTTTATGGATGGGCGCTTTAAGTTCTTTTGGACTGAAGCACTGCAACACCCGCTGAGTGCCATTAAACAGCTTGAAAGATCAAAGACAATTTTTTATATAACTCCGACTGGATTCGTCTGAAAGAAGAAAGTCATATACATCTAGGATGCCTCGGGGGTGAGTAAAACACAGCCTAATTTTCATTTTTTGGTGAACTAACCCTTTAAGGGCTAAAACAAATTATTATTTTGATAATCGATTAATCTAATGTTTGTTAGACCGATTAATCAACTAATCATCGATTATTTCACTGATTAATCAGTAGACATTTGATTATTCAGCTTTTGCGATTAGCTAAAATATTGTTATATATATTCTAACAAATAAATAAAGGAATAAAGGAAAAATAAAGAAGAAAGTCATATACACCTAGGATGCCTCGGGGGTGAGTAAAACGCAGTGTTTTAACATTAATTTATGATAAAAAAAATATCCCCCCTCCCCCCCCTTTTTTAGCAGCATTCAGTGTGCTGCTTTCCCAGTCCTATAATCACACGTGCTTCACTTCACTTTCATGTTTACTTTTTGTTCTGAATTTCCCAAATCCCTCTCGCTGTTAAATACGACCAACATGTACTCTGAAAATTATACATCAACCGTTATACCCAAATGATCTCTCATCAATTGTTAGCGAAAATACATTTTCAACAGATCAGCTCATAATCAATTTGATCTGAGTTTGATGGCTCAATGCATTCGTAGCGTTAACCGTCATCTAAAGATTAAGTTAGTATGCAAGAGTAACCACGTGAGCTGCATATCGTCGTCATTTCAGTATAAACTTGGAAACCTGTTCTAATCACAGCGCCATATACTGGGTATTTTCAACAAAACTATTATTATCATATGATTTAAGTTTGACGTTAGGCGAATAAAAGTAAATTAAATCGCTTACACTTCCATCCCGCTTGCCTGGTTGGTTCGACAACTAACAACGATCCGGTGAGAAAACGAGGCTGTCTGTTAAACGTTCCCACCCAGTTGTGTTCAAATTAAACATTCCTGTAACAATTGCTGGTTAAAGATATTTTCTATAGTGGAAATTGTTATAAAGATAAACGTTATATATAACGTTTCCCCGTGCAACAAAATGAATCCCGCGACAATACCAAAATTCAAACCGAATCATTAAATCAGTTCGAAATGTTGTAGAAGTGCCACTAAAGAAAAATATTGATTAAATGTTATAGAAAAAGATTATATTTATATAAAATGTGATATGGTATATTTATTTAAGATGATAGTTATATAAAAGTAATATTATGAAAAATAAGCCTAGCTTGCAAGGCATCAAGAGAACATAGTAAAATGACAATTATAAAAGTTATAAACCCAAATATGGATAAAAGGGAGAACTATATTAATGAACAGATGCAAGAGCAAAAATACAAATCTCGATTAATTATGCAAACATTTCAATAGTAAATATCACACAAATTTGTAATTATTGTCTGCAAGTTGTTCAAACAGGACTGCTGCAGGTTACATGGAGTAGGCCTACTTTCAGTAGTATTAACCAGTGGTGATAACCTCCTATTTTCCCCTAAATACACTGCTGATTTGATGTATTTGCACAGGTTTATTACAAAAATATAACCCAAAAATAAATAAGAGATCAAATATTTAAGTACATGAAGTACAGCTCTAGATTCATATTTGTGTACCTGCTCGTTTTAAGGACATATAGCGCCATCCACCATTCAAAACTGTAACTGCAAAGTCTATTCTCTCTTTAGGGAGGCGGTTCGAGACAGTATTTGCTCTCTAAAATGAAGGACAGCGCCCAAAAAATGGCGCTTTAGATTTTGGTTGGTTCGCGAGCACCAAATTAACATATTATAGGCGGGGCTTTCGCTTCCCCAAAATAAACGAGGAAGAAATGCAGGTCACAATCTATTGAATGAACAGCTTCTTACGGTAATTCATTCTCAGGAATCGGTGAAATCATACGGCACTGATTTGGTCCTTTAATTGTCCGACATTTCCTGTTTCTGTTTTAATGACCTCTAGTTTTCGGGTTGCTCTTCGCACATAAAGACTGCTTGAGACGGTTACAATGGCAAGTTCAGAGGTAAAGATCGCTCATTTGATCGCTCATAAAAAGTCAGTCTGATTTAGTGTGTTTTTGTGTGTGTCACGGGCTTTCAAAACCTGTCAGAGACCACGAGCGATGATTTACCGTAATGTTTATGTTTATTATTTTGTGTTAAACAGGGAAATAAACTATGGGGTGGTCGCTTTGTGGGAAACACCGACCCTATAATGGAAAAGTTCAACGCGTCAATCGCGTACGACCAGCGCATGTGGGAGGCTGATGTTAAGGGGAGTAAAGCATATGTCAAAGCTTTACAGAAAGCAGGCCTGGTCACGCAAAACGAGATGGAACAGATTCTTACAGGACTTGACAAGGTGATTATATTATTTACCACATTACCTTACTCATAAACCCGTCTGATAGCATCCAGGTTATATGTGTGTTCTTTTACAGTGTCATCTTTCTCATGAAACGTCATTTATTTACCCTTGAACTGTGATGCTGGCTTGTAAATATTTACCAGGATACTGTACCTAGTCCATTCCCCCTTTGACAGCAAAGCTTAACATTTCCTCGCTGGACAAGAAGCCGAAGCAAGAAGCGCAGCCTGCTGCTCACCACCTTAAGAAGAAGCCCCAGCAGCGGAAGATCACTAGAAGCCTTCCCCTGCAGCTATACAGCATCGATTAGAGCAAATTTCCTGGCGTTGCAAATGTGGCACTGTGAGTGTGGCTCATGCAGGGACCCCTGCATGATGCAGATGGGCACGGTGAATGCGTTGCCTGTCTGGGCAGCGCCCATGCAGAGACTGTGCTCACCCGAACGGAATGCTTTCTGAGAGCATGAGTCTCACCCTTCTACGCTCGCAGATCGCCTTCAATGAAGGCAGCCCCACTCTCCCTTTTCTCCCCTTTCAGCTAGCTCGGAGAAGACACAGTGGAGTCATGGGACTGAGCAATCGGGCTTGAGTGATCTCACACTGGCACAGGTGTTTTACACGTGAGGATCAGCACCCCTCGTCTACAACGATCAGAGGACAGTGCAGTCACCGATTATTCCATATTACTGACAGCTTCAGATTTGGGTGCGTCGCTTGCCTGGGCCACACCCATGCTGAGGCTGCGCTCTCTGAGACAGACTGCTCTCACTGTGAGACCATGAGTCTCGCCCTGCTTCGCCCTCGCCCCTCCCGCTCTCGCGTTTCTCCCCTCCCAGCTGCTTCGGAGGGCGAAACCGTGAAGTCACAGGCTGAGCGACCAGGCTTGAGTGATCTCTTGATTGAAAATCCTGTGTGCTTCACTCTCCCCTCAGAACTTTGATCAGGGCACAGGGCAAGCTCCTCTTGCTGAGTGCAGTTCATGTGGCAGGCAGACTAAACCAGGGAGCAGAAATGCAGTCCAGGGGCAATGTAGCTCCAGGAGGATGGAGACTACATCCCCAAATGGTTCAAACGATCTGGTCTGTCTTCAGGAAGGCAAAGGTGGACCTCTTTGTGTCAGAAGACAACTTTCACTGCCCAATTTATTTTTCAAAGCAGCGAGATGCCCTGCCCCACGATTGGCCTAAGCAGCTTGGGTCTTATTATTAGCTCATGTTACAGGAGCCCTAAGTATGGGTGCCCTGGGGCTGGGCTCGCAGAGCAGCTTACTTACGTAACCTCGGTTCCCTGAGACAAGGGAACGAGCGTTGCGTAGGCTGCCATGCTATAAAGCTGCACGTGAATCGATGACTGTTGCTTCAGTCAAAAGATTCTGACGAAATGGCACCCAGAGCTGTCTTGTATAGCAGTCAGTACCACCCCTTTTGGCGGGTTGAGGCGCCATTGGTTCGTGCAGCTACACAAACGTGATCAAATTAGACTTCATTATCAGAGTAAACAGGAGTTTCCCTTATCTCAGGGAACTGAGGTTACCTAAGTAACTGGAGTGTTTTTATTTAATTTAATTTTAAGTTTTAGTTTGGTTTTAGTTTTGGTTAACTATAATAACGGTGAGCTCCTGAGATATAGCTCTATTGGCAACTAACACCGGTCTCCCCAATATGGCTGGAAATATTGCGAAAAGAGTTATCAGACATTTTAATTTATTGTCACAAATTATGAATAACTGAGGTATTTAAAAATATCTTTATCAGGTTTTTGATGAATGGTCCAAAGGCGAGTTCAAGATCAAACCAGGAGACGAGGATATTCACACAGCCAATGAACGCAGACTGAAGGTCAAAAGAAAACACTGAATTGAATAAGAAGATATTTTATCAGTTCACCGTGTGGTGTAGGTTATAATTCTGAATAATTCAATGTTCATGTCTTCTTTTGTTGGTATGTATAATCATGCTGCAAACTTTACAGGTCATCAGTATCCCTTGTAATTAAAGGGATGATTCATACAAAAATTCTGATGACAATTCTGTCATCATTTTCTCACCCTCAATTTGTTCCAAACCTGTATGACTTTCATTCTTCTGTGGAACACAAAAGAAGATAATTCGAAAAATTTTGGTCCATTAAATGAAAGTCAGTGGTTACCAACATTGTTCACAATATCTTCATTTATATTCCATAGAATAAAGAAAGTCATACAGATTTAAAACAACATGAGGGAAAGTAAATGATCAAATGATTTGTGTGAATAGTGTGTTTAACTGAATGTGTTTGTGTATATTTTTGGAC